TATCCTAATGGACTATCTATTTTTTTTTATTGCTTAGGTGGGTGGACGAGCTGACAGCTCACCCGGTGTTAAGTGGTTACTGGAACCCATAGACATCAACAACGTAAATGCCCTACCCACCTTGCCCCACCCTTCAAACCGAAACGCATTACTGCTTCACGGCAGAAATAGGCAGGTGGTACCCACCCGCGTGGACTCACAAGAGGTCCTACCGCCAGTAATAAATATAATATAAACCTAGTCCAATTGAAGTTTCTGCCTACCCTCGTATCGCTCCATGCAGTTCACGTAGTCCAGCATGCAATAGTCAGAGAATGTCTGATACCGGTAGTAGATCGTTCTTCCGCAAAGGGTACCCGTTCTTGAAAAAAAAAACAACAATTCAACTTATTTTATTTATTTATTTGTACAGGAGTATAGTGGCGGACCTAATACTACTATAGGTACTGTCCTTTACTAGTCAAGCAAAAGTAGGGTAGAGAGTACTGCGGTAGGTGCATAGCTTGGACAAAAATTTTAAGTAGACATATCATATAACGCTTTGCATAGTATATATTAAAATAATATACCATTTACATATAACTAACCCTTATTTGTCGTCAGAGTCAAAACGCTTAAGCAAAAATACCTCTAAATCCATTTGGGGTAAATGTTACTTTTAAATAGAATTGTGTTCACGAGAGCTCTTTTTTTATTGCTTAGATGGGTGGACGAGCTCACATACCACCTGGTGTTAAGTGGTTACTGGAGCCTATAAACATCTACAACGTAAATGCGCCACCCACCCTGAGATATAAGTTCTAAGGTCTCAAGTATAGTTACAACGGCTGCCCCACCCTTCAAACCGAAACGTACAACTGCATCACGGCAGAGACAGGCAGGGTGGTAGTATCTACCCGTGCGGACTCAGAAGGGGTCCTACCACCAGTAAAATTGCTCATTCACGATTGACAGGCTGATGGAAATGTAAACAGCTTTAGCATAAGAGATGCTGGCGTCTATGATTTGCGATGGAGCGATGGTCTATCCGTATTGATTATAATATGTTTAGCCATCCAATTCTATAACATTGAGCAGTTTCAATTCAATAATCAAATGCAAAAATCCATTATTCGATCTTTAGAGAGGACAGAGAAAAAATCATACATCACTTAGACTGTTTTATTGTAACCATTTGAAATAGATAATTTTTATAAAACACATTAGTTATCAGAAACATAGTCCTCATCCAAAAATCCATCATCTGTATACTGTGTATCTAAAACAAAACAATCTTTATGATAAAAAAAGAAAGTAAGTAAAATGACAAAAACCAAACTTACTCCGCGTCAATATAAACTAAAAAGTTAATGCTTCCCATCTTAGGATATAGGCTGAATTATTGATAGCATTGGTACCACAGTTATTCCATCTCCCACACATAGCAGTATGGCTATCTATCTGAGATGATTTCCACGCTTTTGCGTACGCGTTGAATTCTGTAAGCGAGGTATTTTAAAACTAACTTAAGCCTCCTGCTGCTCAACCCATCTTGGCCTCGAGACGGAACTCAATCGAGGCAGGCGGGGGGTAAATTCTCCAATTTAGTACCCACAGATCAGCGGAACCTCTCGTTCCGTGGGCTGTCATGTATATAAAAATCTGTCGTATTGGTGATAAATCCTGTGTGATGCCCAAATGAATTTCATTTTAAATACTTACGTACATAGTCAGTCAAGGGCGTCGGTGAGAAACATTCACCCATATGTACCAGTTGCCAAACTGAAAAATCCAGATTTCGCTGTTTATATTCCATCATATTTGGTTCGTGGTTTTAGGATGAAGCAACGATTTCGTGCACTTTGCAGTAAAAGCAAACATTTGATTCGTTCTTTATAAATACACATAATGCAGTCTACATACACTTCATTGCCTAAATTAGTCTATTGCATGTAAAGTGTATATTTATTATTTGTTAGTCTATATTGTAACGTGGAATCTTTTCTTAGGTATTCCTAATACATATGCTATATTTTGAATGTGTTCTCGTTTAGAAATAATTACCTAGTCCATGCAAATATATCTTGTATTATAATAAAAAATATATAGTAATAAATACCTAGTATAGCTTACACGTTTGGCCCGTTGGAGTGTACAGATATTGTCACAACATAAATACCTGATATGGATCACTCACCTTCAGACATGAGGTCAGAGTCTTAAATGTGCCATAAAATGGCTGTTTGACCCTTCAACATGGAACGGGTGACTACTCTGCGGCAAAAATAGGCAGGGTGGTGGTACTTCATTGCATCGGATTACAATAGTGCAACCACTAAATACCTAGCCATAACAGAAGTACGCTAATATAATACTCGGAGAATGCTTGCCCGATCCCTGGTGAATCCTTTAGTGGCCTTTTACGACACACACGAGAACTAATTGGGTGATTCTATCCTAGTTTTTAGACGGACGAAAGAGTTCAAAGCGTACCCGATGATAGTTGGTTACCGTTCAATAATGTATACGCCTCTGTTAACCTTGAAACATAAGTTCTAAGTATAATTACTATTCTAAGTTCAATTTACCTTCGTATCTTTCCATGCAATTTACGTAATCCATCTGACAATAAGTCGTGAAGTTCGCGTACGTATAGTAAATCGTGCGGCCACAAATCACTCCCGTTCTGGCGAAAGTCGAAATTAGCATTGCAAAAGGTAACTCTATTTATCGATGCCGAGTGGAAGTCTTCAGTTATTATTAAATCGTGCTTGGGGGAGGACAAAAGTTCGATTAATGTCAATTCTCTGTAGTAGCATTTATGACAGAAAAGTTAGTTAGGTACGAGAAAATAGCGTTGCAAGCTGAGGATCTGTTAGAGCGAAATCAATAGGGAGATATCATGATCGGGTATTGAGATGAATTAGTTACAGCGTGACTTTTGAGATATGAGCTTGAGGTTTTTATTATATTGTGTAATGAATATCTTACGCTTCTAGCCGGAATTTATGATTGCTTTGCGGCTGGAACAGAATAGTTGTCCCATCCTAGCGGACATTAATGTTCGCCATCAATGCAACTATGAGCATTGTCTGATTATTTTTTATAAATTGTTTCAGTAACTCAACGCGTATTTTCGACGTGAGACGCTTAATATCATCATTATATCTACATTTCAAACTGTTTTGTCTTTTTATTGGACAAGGTGAACGAGATCGCGGCCCATGTGATGTTAAGCGATTACAAATAAACATAAACAATGTTAATGCCACCATCTACATTAATAAGTGCAACATTTATGTTAAAAAAATATCATTATGAATAAATGTAAAGCTTGATAACTTTCGGCTATTTAATGAAAATACTGAAAAATTCATAAGTTATATTATATGATATTATATGTGATATTTTAAATATTCTGGTATTGGATGAGGAGAGCCGCAGACCGTGCTCAGTGGTGTGGATTGGGAGAGGCCTATGTCCAGCAGTGGACGACTGTAGGCTGTTGATGATGATGATGATGATGATGGTATTTGATAGCCTACATCTTAGTGTAAATGTTAATAATGATAAAACACAATTCATAGAACAAAATATAGATGAAGTGAAAGAAATACTATGAGAAGAAAGAGCAACAGTCACTACGTATGGGACGTTGTGTATACTACCTGAGATATAACCTATGGAGGGTTGGCATCAGGCAGCTGGCCGGTTGTACAACTCATGTCAGATGCAGCATCAGAAAACCATGCTGCGTCGACCTTACATAATGTGGGAAAAGTGTAAGAAGAAGAAGAAATAGAATTCGAGAATTCCAAAAAAGGAACACTCAACATGACCTCGTCATGACACACCTTTATTATATATTTTAATATCGTACATGAACATACCCAATGAACATTTAATATTTTAATATTGAACGATTAGAATAATCTCTGTTGCAGGACCTAAATAAATAACGGCCTTTTTTATAGTAAATCAGCTTTAAGCTTTAGCGGACGAAAATTTAAAAAAGAGTTCTACATCTTCTATTCTTCTTCTTCTTCTTCTATTTCTGATATCATGTGACTCCAACATGCACAAGCACAAATACGCACACGAGGTCACCAGCGAAATGTCATTGGAACAAATAAAATCCGCTCAACCAATATTTTGCTAATCGTAAGTAAAGTCTTTAGTGTGGTACTCTTCAAGTTCCGTTCTTTTAGTAATATTCACGACAAACACCTCAACTTTGCAAAACCCGATAAAATGTCGCAAGTCAGAGTCCGAGATATTATAATATACATAATATAAATTATGATCTTTAATTTTGATAAAACAAATCGAAATGCGCTTCATGTGTGGAAACGCAGTTGTGTTAAAAGAATTGAAAATTTCCTTTACGAGACTTTCCGTGTTGATCTTGCCGTCTCCCATTTTCCCAAAACCTTATAAATTTCCCTTAATTTTTAAGTGATAAAACATTCTCGCTCACGACTCGGTCGTGCGCAGACGTGCTTTCCGATCCGTGGCCCGCTTGCGAGCTGCGTCTCTGAACTCACAGTTGTGCTCGACAGTGTAGTGACCGTGAATACATCGTGCTTACAATTCGGTAGTGCGGACGTTCCGATCCGTCGGTCGCTTGCGATCTGCGTCTCGAAGTCCATTTTTGTGCGCTAAAGTATTGTAACCGCGAACCCACCCTTTACCAACTGTCTTTTTCAAGACAAAACCAATCGCTACGATCAGGCTTCCTGTGGCACTATCACAGGCTAGCGATTTCCTAACCCTTCCCAAAACAACAGTCTTTTTCAAGACTAGACCCCCGCTCGCGATTCTGCCTGCTGTAGCACTATACAGCCCGAGCGGGTTCCTTTCCTTTTCCCCGCCGATTGCCGTTTTCACGGCATAGGCATTCCCCCCCCCTGCTCCTTGCTGTCCTGCAGCACAGGGGGGTTACAAATCCTATCCGGGGCCTCGCCTTTCGGCGAGTTCAACAAAAGTCCCGGGGCCGCCCCCCCCGGGCAAGAAGACCGAAAATGCAGCAAGAAGAAAGTGTCAGTGAAAGTGCTAGTGACATTGTCGGGTTCCTCCGGGATAGGTACCCGTCAATTAGGGCCGAGTACTTAGCGTATAGGGCCTCCCGTGGCAATCCCTCCCCCCCCGCGTCCGTCGCCGCGTATCTCAAACGTGCCTCGGAGGCACGCCGCGCGCCCCCCGCCGCCGCGTTAAGTTCGAGCGCACGTTCCGACGATGCGACTCACGAAGCGCCTAGCGCTACCCCCACCCCCGCGCCCGCGTCGACTACGTCATCGCGCGTTTCGTCCGTCGCGACCTCGATCGTTTCGAGTTCAGGCTCCGATACCGAATCGGAGATGGATTTCGAATCCGCGTCAAGCCCTCAGCCTGGAACTTCGGATGGGTTCCAAACCGTAACGCGCGGTAAAAAGCGTACTCGCGCCGTGGAGTCCCGGAGCTCCACGACGAAGCAAACTAAATCCGCGACCGCCTCCCGCCCGCAGGTAGTCGTGACACCGGAGTCGGACTCCGCTCGCCGCGTAACCCCGCCGCCGCGTCCCAAGCCCGCGCCCGCTCCTAAAGTAGCTGCCCCGCCCCCGCTGATACTTCAAGAGAAGACAGCGTGGAATCGCGTATCCCAGGCCCTTCAGGCAAATAAAATTAACTACACCCATGCGCGTAACGTCGCGCATGGGATTCAGATTAAGGTCGCAACGCCGGGCGACCATAGGGCCCTCTCAGCATACCTCCGAAAGGAGAACATAGGTTTCCACACCTATGCTCTTCAGGAGGACCGCGAGCTCCGCGTAGTAATACGCGGAGTACCGAAAGAACTAGACATAGACTACGTTAAGGAGGACCTGATCGCTCAGGCACTCCCTATAGTTAGTGTGCATCGGATGCACAGTGGGCGGGGCAAGCAGCCCTACAACATGATACTCGTCGCGTTGGAGCCAACCCCGGAGGCAAAAAAGAAAATCTCATGCCTCTCGACAGTTTGCGGCCTATCCGGGGTCTCCATCGAAGCCCCCCATAAACGTGGCACTCCCGGGCAGTGCTACAGATGCCAGCTTTACGGCCACTCGGCTCGTAATTGCCACGCGCGCCCCCGCTGCGTAAAGTGCCTCGGCGACCACGCCACATTAGATTGCTCGCGTGTTAGGGAAACCGCGACCGAACCTCCAAGCTGTGTCCTATGCCTTAAGCAAGGGCACCCCGCGAACTACCGTGGATGTCCTAGGGCTCCGCGAAAACGTCCAACCCACCCGGCTCCGAGAACCGTCGGCCCAAAGACTTCGGCACCTTCAGTGCCGAAACCCGCCTTCGTGCCGGCTGCAGTTCCCACGGTCTCGGCGTGGAAAAAACCGCTGCCGTATACGAAGGCGGGAACGGAAACCGCACCCGCTCGTGACACGCCCCGCACCCCAGCCCCTGCTCGCACCTCGCCCCGCGCCCGCGTTCCGTCCCCCGCAACCCTCTGCCGCCAACGACTTCGCGCTCGTGCGCGACTTCGTCACCGCGGTGAACTTCGACCGTCTGCGATCGTTCGCTGACGCTATCCGTAGGTCGGTAACCCCCGAACAGCGGCTCGCGGCCGCTTTCGATCACATGGTCGTTTACGAGTCCGTGTCACGTACGTTATAAAATCTTTACCGGTAATCAATGGCGCAAAAAGGTAGAGAAAAACCGTATTCCCTTACGTTAGCATTCTACAATGCTAACGGACTCGCGCGGCAACGCGATCAAATTTTCGAATTCCTCCGCGACAATCTTATAGATATCTTGTTAGTGCAGGAGACCTGTCTGAAGCCCTCGCGTCGCGACCCGAAAGTCGCGAACTACGTCATGGTTAGGAATGACAGACTCACCGCCTCGAAAGGCGGGACTGCCATTTACTATAGACGGGCCCTGCACGTTGTCCCTCTCGATACTCCCTCGCTCTTACATATCGAGGCGTCAGTGTGCCGTATCTCGCTGACGGGACACCAGCCGATCGTCATCGCATCCGTTTATCTCCCCCCGGACAAGCCCCTCCTGAGCAGTGACATCGAGTCACTGTTCGGCATGGGNTTCCTTAGGAATGTGGATCTCCACGATGACCTGGAGCTCGACTCTCTTAGTAAGTATCTACAGTCGGCATCGCTGCGCCATTTTGAGAAGGCGGCACGACATGAGAACCCTCTCATCGTAGCCGCTGGAAATTACATACCCGACCCAGTAGACCGAATGGTAAACCGTCGACGTCGCCCAAAACACGTCATTACGGATCCTCCTGATCCATTCTCCGTCCTCGTCGAACCCGTCGCTTGCGACGAAGGGCTCGACGAGCGAACTAACCCATAGACACAGCCCACTGAGTTTCTCGCCGGATCTTCTCAGTGGGTCGCGTTTCCGATCCGGTGGTAGATTCTGCGAAGCACTGCTCTTGCTAGGGTCAGTGTTAGCAACTCTCCGGTTGAGCCCCGCGAGCTCACCTACTAACCTTAGGGCGAAGCTGAAATAGCCTCTCAAGGCTATCAGCATAGGTAGGAAAAAAAAAAAAAAAAAAAAAAAAGTGATAAAAATCTAGAAAAGGACAAACGATAAAATAGCGTTTGGTTACTTGAACTGGCAATGTCTAATTATGGATTCCCAGATCGATTTACAGCTCGAACCATTAGATTCGTGAAAACAAATTTTTGAGACTCGGAGTATTAATATATATTCCTAATTGTCTTTTGTTTCCCTCATTTTTGTACACACAATACAAAGGCATAACTCATCACGGGGTCATTGAACTTGTGACATTTTTAATATTTTTACTATAGACTAGAGGTCCCTGTATAGTCGAAATTCGACTATAATTAATTGGAATTGTAAGTTTGTACACTATTATGATTGTATTTTATACTTCTATAATCACAAATTTCGCCAAGACTACACTATAAAAAATATGAACAAAGACAAACAATATTTAATCTATTCTCTTAAACCTAAGAGATAGATAGATATCTATTCTCAATTTGACAACAAACGTCAAGAACAAAAGTTTGACAATAAATAGTATGCACGCGTGTGTGCGTCAAATACATGGTATGTAGTGTGTGTAATATTTTCTTTATTGATTTAATGTATCTTGTATGCATTATTTTAAAAAAAATGTAGCATTGTGCACTTCTTCTCTATATTCTCTATAAGTGTGGAAAATTTCATACTCCTCCGTCCGCGCAATTTTCGTAAAAAGGTATACAAAGTTTTTGCTTCACGTATTAATGTATAGATACTCATACGTATAATATTTAAAAATTATTATCAATAATTACTTGTAGGCTTTTAGACAGTAGAACGCCAAATAATCACAGTCTTCCTCAAAGGACATCCTATAGGGTGTGGTTCTGCGATGTTTCTTCGTTGTTGTTGTAGGAATTGTATATCTAAAAAATTTTATTGTTTGAATTGACAGCTAATGACCCTAGTATTAGGATTCATAATTGAAGTTGGTTCAAAACGGAATTTATTATGTGCAATAAAATATGAAAAAATATGATAAATTAACCTCTATTTCTAAAATAGTGGATTTTGCAATATATTTTTTTTTGCTTAGATTGGTGGACAAGCTCACAGCCCACCTGGTGTTAAGTGGTTACTGGAGCCCATAGACATCCACAACGTAAATGCGCCACCCACCTTGAGATATAAGTTCTATGGTCCAAACCGAAACGCATTACTGCTTCACGGCAGAAATAGGCAGGATGATGGTACCCACCCGCGCGGACTCGCAAGAGGTCCTACCAAATATAAGTTAATTTATCTTGGTGTTAATGAATTTATCATCTATGTTATTCGAGCCATTGAGCCTTAGAAAGAGACAGCCTGTTATTTTATTGCTATGACGTAAACTTTTATCCATTCCCTTATTTTTTATTCCGCAGAAAACTACTGCACGTATGAGTCCGAGTATAACTTTTTAATTTTGCATATATTAAACGACATCTGGGCCCATCTATTGTTTAATAGTCTAAGAGTCCATGGACAGCACAACGTGAATCACGTCATCAGACTTAAGATATAAGGTCGAAAATTCAATTGTATTGTTGCACGTGCTCTTGCGATAGCAGATACCAAAGAATAAGCCGTAGCTGAAAGTCTTTTAAAAAAATCACATCTGATTCTGCTGTAAGTAGATCGAACGAAAAAAAAACAAAAAAAAAAAAAACTTCAATGTAGTTCAGTCTTTCAGATAAGATTCCGAAAAGCTAATTAGTTTTACAGCTAAAAATGAAAAGTATAAACGAAAATAGTCTAATCGTAAAATGTTGGAATACCTATGGGCATCCTGACCCGGTCCCCCAGGATACCCAGCCGGTGTGGGCACAACAAATCCAGGGTCCCTGGGCGGCTCTGTGGCTACCGTCGACTTATTTTGTCCATTCGTTTCCCGTAGCAATGCAACTGCTGCTATTAGAGTGAAGCTTATGATGAAATTAATTAATCCTTTCGCTTGCGTATGTGAAAGAGTTCTCGCGTGTTAAAATCTTAGGAGGAAAATTATCCAATATACATATATAAATTTATTGTACACTAGCTGACCCGTCAGACTTCGTAGTGCCTCAATCGATAAATAAAAGACCTAATCTTTTGTATAAAATAAACTTAAACCAAAGGAATTCGTCCAACGGGGGGTTGGGGGGGACATTAAAGGAAAAGGAAATCTATCTATATAATATTTTACACCTTGTCTGGACTTCCACAAATAATTCAAGACCAAAATTAGCCAAATCGGTCCAGCCGTTCTCGAGTTTTAGCGAGACTAACGAACAGCAATTCATTTTTATATATATAGATTTTCCACTTATTATACGTTTGTTATTTGTGTGCATTGGAGTGCTTACTACCTAAAGCATTCTCCGACAACCAACCGATTACAGTCAAATATTACCTGTCCATTTAAAACAATTCTTCGCTTACTTCTCTAATTCTTCCTATAATTCCTAGTTGGAGAAACCAGCATCTGAGCCTGTACTGGCTGAATGCCAAGATCGGTCTATTTCTGCCGCAAAGGACATGTTCTTGCCTAATGATCATAGCTGTTATTTCTATGCGAATTGCACTTAAATTTTAAATCTCAATACTATCGGCTTACGGAGCCAATGGCCGCCAATAGTCTCGAGAATGTAATCTCCTCTACCCAAACTAGCAATAAAAATATAAATCCGAACTCACCTAAAAGAAATAATGTCCTCAACTTAATAACCATTTTTTAATTCTGTTATCAGTGAGACCATGTAATGTACTATTTTAATTTGAATGTACTAAAACAAAGAAATTCAAGTTTGCTCAGAAATTGAGAAGGAAACAGTACAATGTCAACTTGTGTAAAGTGATGTTAATATATTAATATCTAAATATGAAAGTTTGGCAAAAATGGCTCTCGAGACATTATCCAGATTTACCCAAACCCTTTAATTAAACTTTTATTTATAATATGGCGCAAAGTTGGTTTGATAGCCTGGATTAAACAAATAATACTTTTTGATAACAGTAAATATTTTTTATTTATTTTTATTGCTTAGATTGGTGGACGAGCTCACAGCCCACCTGATGTTAAGTGGTTACTGGAGTCCATAGACATTCACAACGTAAATGCGCCACCCACCTTGAGATACAAGTTCTAAGGTCTCAAGTATAGTAACGACGGCTGCCCCACCCTTCAAACCGAAACGCATTACTGCTTCACGGCAGAAATAGGCAGGGTGGTGGTACCCATCCGCGCGGACTCACAAGAGGTCCTACCACCAGTAATGTGACTGCTAACCCGGGGCAATACTGTCATAATGAGTAAAACACTGTGTTTCTAATTTTACGTAACGGTGAATAGACAAATCAACTTGTAGTTTATGGACTAAGTCGCAACCAATCAATAAGACATACATAGCTACGATCACTCCGCCATGAGTGTGCGATTGAGAAGAAGAAGTTTAAGATTGACTTCCACGGTGAAGGAATAACATCGTGTAATAAAAATGAAACCCGCAAAATTATAATTTGCGTAATTCCTGGTGGTAGGACCTCTTGTGAGTCCGCGCGGGTGGGTGCCACCGCCCTGCTTGTTTCTGCCGTGAAGCAGTAATGCGTTTCGGTTTGAAGGGTGGGGCAGCCGTTGTAACTATACTGAGATCTTAGAACTTATATCTCAAGGTGAGTGTGAGCTCGTCCACCTGGGCTGTGAGCTCGTCCACCAATCTAAGCAATAAAAATAAAAAGGGCTAGAGAAAGTCCAAAGTAACCCTTTATCCTGTCTAAATGTAATATGTTTCATTCATTCTGAATTATAATTTAACGAGGAATCTAATGGGAACTTCGACATTCATGATGGTAAGGTTAACGGACTCCGCTTAACGCTGAATGGACCGAGTGATTAGGGAGTTTGGTCTATTTAACAAAAAACATACGAACAGACACGACTTTTCTTTTTTACTATCTCGATTGATACTGAACCCCAGAAATTCACGTTTCAATTGATTTCATCAAACGAAAGTCAATGGAACGCGAAATTTAATTTGACGGAAATGTGAATTTAATTATTTTCATTCGATTCCGATGTTCGGTTTTCTTAGTTAATTTGATGGCTTTTTTAACTTTGTTTGTTTTTTT